CGAGCGTGGGTCAGCCACAGGGCAAGAATCGATCGGCGCAAACGTTGTAGATGGAGCTAAGGGCGCGGACGTCTCAAAAACGTCGTGGATCAGGGTCACGAAGCGATGATGACGCATCCAACGTCTCGGTCGAGTCCAGCGAAGAGGAATTGGTCGACGAATCGCTCCCGATGGAATCTGGCGACAACAGCAGCCGCTCCAGCGACTGGACCAGCACCGACGACTCTGAGTCTATCAATGTAACGCTGGCTGTGCCCGACAAGCACCACTTCACATCGTGGGACGCTTTCCACTCGTATTTAGACCGGTATTTTGCCGCATCTTACCAGGTAAAGTGGATTTACACTGCAATAGGCTTCTTTGCTGATCCCATTGTGTGCTATGAAGGTCTTCCGTGTTCGTACAAACACGACCGTTGAGCGTCGTAACACAGACATCCGAAACAAGAACTCTAAAGCACCTGAAATCCCGTCCGAATGGAAATACTACGCGAAGACGTTAGTCTGTACTTGCTTCGGCAAGTACAAGTCGAAGGGAAACAGCAAGCGCCCACGTCAAGAGACCCGGTTATCGGACTGCAAAGCCCAGGTAAGATACGGCTTCAAGTTTTACTTCTGCTCGGGTTCGTTCGGGTTTGTTCGGGCATTGCGGGTACTATTGTCTCAATTATCGGTACTAACGTTAATAAATCTGGCATAGATCAACGCCTGCGTTCGACTAGTTGACAAAGCCAAGCACGCGTTTGCAGTTTGAATCACAAAGTGTAACCCCGTACACAATCATGTCGTCAACCGCCAAACCTTCTATCGCTTTTCCTCGATCCACAAGGTGCTAGATGATGGCGTCGTTGAGTCGGTGGATATGCTCCGCAAGGCGGGTGCAAAACACAAGAATATTATGAAGTTCATCAACGAGAACACGGACGCCAACCCGTCTATTCAGGACGTGCGTAACATGGTTCGAAGCCTCAAGCAGAGCGAAAACGTGCGTGGCTCGCGTAACAGTTCCAAACGGTTGAAAACATGGATGCAAGAATTCTGTGAAGCACCAGGAAATATTGGACGTATATTTGTCGAGACCATGCAGACCAAGGTATAGTATTCGTTCAATTTGACTATCGATACCTTAGCTAACGTGCAGTGTTGAATGTAATTAGCGAGTTGCGACCTGCATTACATTGCAAACCCAGCACATGAGGCTGATGTTCGAGCAATTCCCGGAGGTTCTTTTGATCGATGCAACCCACGGCACCAATGCTTCTAAGTACAAGGTATTTTCGTTCATGGCGCACGATGTTTTCGGCCACGGACAGTTTGTTCAGCACGCCCTTCTGCAGAATGAACGTCGTCACACTCTCGTCACTGCAATCGAGGAGTTTAAGCAGAACAATCCGGCATGGACTCGAGTCCAAAGCATACTTATCGACAAAGACCTTACGGAGTTGTCGGTACTCAGGGCAGCGTTTCCGGATGCCTCTATACTGCTCTGTCAGTTTCACGTGTTGAAGTATCTGAGAGAGGCTGTGGCATCTTCGGACTATGGTTTCACCTCATGGCAAAAGGACCAGCTACGCAGCACATTCAATTTGCTCGTGTATGCTCCTACTGAGGCAGCCTATTTGAAGCATCGTCGCTACCTCCGCCACCTTGTGACATTTGGCGTTGCTTCG